GCTGCCTTGCGAATATATTGGTGCATGTTATAGGGATGAGACTTGCAAGGTGTGGGGCGTAAGGAGTACTAACCCTGGGTGGAGCGGGCGCGCTAAGACCGGATAAACACTAGCCCCGAACTTCTCTTTGAGAGGCACTCGTCGCCGCCTGTCGCATCTAGGGCAGACAAGGACTCTACACGTCCTCACTCGATATCCACTCTCACCTCTACCCTTTCCCTACCGCGCCTCACATATCTAGCCGCGACCATGGCTGAGCCGTACGAGTACGAAGACGGAATGGACGACTACGAGGATGAGGAGGACGACCGCGTTTTGCCCGAGGACTGCTGGGCAGTTATCAGCTCCTTCTTCGACACCAAGGGTCTGGTGTCGCAACAACTGGACTCCTATGACGAATTCACGCGCAATACAATACAAGATATCGTAAAAGAAAACGGAAGCGTCATTCTCGAACAGAACACGCCCTACAACCCCGACGAGGATGATAACCCGATTATCAAGCGCCGCTATGAGATCAAGTTTGGACGTGTCTATCTTGCACGACCAACACATACTGAAGGAGACGGTACCACTGTACAGCTGTATCCACATGAGGCGCGTCTTCGCAACCTCACCTACTCCGGAGCCATGTTGGCCGACATCGAAAACCGCATCATGGTCGCTCGTGAAGGCCGCGATCCCGAGGGCGATGAGGACGAGGATATGGAGGGCGGATACACAGGAGGTGCTTCACAAATTCGGTGGGAACGTGAGGACATGCCCATGGACGATGGTACTGCGGCGAGAGTTTTCATCGGAAAGCTACCCGTCATGTTGCGGTCAGAGCTTTGCCACCTGCGAGCGCAATCAGATGCCGATTTGTTTGCGCTGAACGAATGCCCCTACGATCAGGGTGGATACTTTGTCATCAACGGCAGTGAGAAAGTGCTGATCGCCCAGGAGCGTAGTGCCGCCAACATTGTACAAGTCTTCCGCAAGAAGCAGGGACCTATTCCTTGGATAGCAGAAATTCGAAGTGCTGTCGAAAAGGGCACTCGTCTTATCTCTTCCTTTAACATCAAATGGGCAGAAAACTCGCTCGCCGGTCCGGGCAAGCGTATACCCGGTCCATTCGCATACGCCACCCTCCCATACATCAAGGCAGATGTGCCCATGGCCATTGTCTTCCGTGCGCTTGGTATAGTTTCCGATGAGGAGATTCTGAGCCACATCGTTTACGACCGTACCGACACACAAATGCTGGAGCTGTTGAAGCCCAGTATCGAGGAGGGTTCCGTTGTGCAGGACCGTGAGACTGCCCTCGACTTCATCGCCAAGCGTGGTGCAAACTCTGGTACCAAGGACAGGCGTCTCAAGTTTGCGAGGGACATCATGCAGCGCGAATTCTTGCCGCACATTTCCCAAAAGGAGGGTCAAGATACCCGCAAGGCCTACTTCTTTGGTTACATGATCCACCGACTTCTACAGTGTGTGTTGGGTCGCCGTGATGAGGATGACCGTGATCACTTTGGAAAGAAGCGACTGGATCTTGCGGGACCTTTGATCGCCAACTTATTTCGAATCCTCTTCCTGAAGCTCACAAAGGATGTGTACAAGTACCTTCAGCGGTGCGTTGAAAACAACCAGGACTTCAACGTCCAAATGGCTGTAAAAGCCAGCATCATCACAAACGGCCTGAAGTACTCTCTTGCTACAGGTAACTGGGGTGATCAGAAGAAGGCCGCCTCCGCAAAGGCTGGTGTCTCGCAGGTGTTGAACCGATACACCTACGCTTCTACTTTGTCCCATCTTCGCCGAACAAACACACCCGTTGGACGTGATGGTAAGTTGGCCAAGCCCCGCCAACTTCATAACTCTCATTGGGGTCTTGTCTGCCCTGCTGAGACGCCTGAAGGACAGGCTTGCGGACTGGTCAAGAACTTGTCTCTCATGTGCTACGTCAGTGTCGGTAGCGATGCATCCCCCATTATCGACTTCATGACGCAACGTAACATGCAACTTCTCGAGGAATACGACCAGAACCAAAACCCAGATGCGACAAAGGTTTTCGTGAACGGTGTATGGGTCGGTGTTCACTCCAACGCTCAGCAACTTGTCACAGTTGTGCAGGAGCTCCGACGAAACGGAACTCTATCTTACGAGATGAGTTTGATTCGTGATATTCGTGACCGAGAGTTCAAGATCTTCACGGATGCTGGCCGTGTCATGAGACCTCTGTTCGTCGTTGAGAACGATATCCGAAAGCCGAACCGAAACCACCTGATCTTCACCAAGGAAATCAGTAACAAGCTCAAGGCTGAGCAACAGGAGACCAGCACACGGCAAGGCTGGAGTCAAGAGGAGGTCGAGCAGGCCACCTACGGCTGGAGAGGTCTGATCCAAGACGGTGTCGTCGAGTATCTCGATGCCGAAGAAGAAGAAACTGCCATGATAACATTCTCACCCGAAGATTTGGAGGAATGGCGAGAGATGAAGATGGGTTTGCCTGCAGCCGAGCGATCCACTGAGGGCAAGGACCGACTTCGTCGTCTCAAGCCCCAGCCAGATCCTCGCATTCACGCCTATACCCATTGCGAGATTCATCCGGCCATGATCTTGGGTATCTGTGCCAGTATCATTCCCTTCCCAGATCACAACCAGTCACCCCGTAACACGTACCAATCTGCCATGGGTAAACAAGCCATGGGTGTTGCTCTTACCAACTTTGCGCTCCGTATGGAAACCATGATGAACGTCCTCTATTACCCCCAGAAGCCTTTGGCGACAACCAGGTCAATGGAGTACCTCAAGTTCCGTGAGCTTCCCGCTGGACAGAACGCTATCGTCGCCATTGCTACCTATGGTGGTTACAACCAGGAAGATTCCGTCATCATGAACCAGAGCAGTATCGATCGTGGTCTCTTCAGGAGTTTGTTCTACCGTGCGTACACTGAACAAGAGAAACGCATTGGTGTCAACGTTCTGGAACAGTTCGAGAAACCTACGCGTGCTGACACTCTCCGTTTGAAGGGTGGTACTTATGACAAGCTCGACGACGATGGTGTTGTCGCGCCTGGTGTACGTGTGTCTGGTGACGATATCATCATCGGAAAGACTGCACCCATCGCGGCGGATGCCCAGGAGCTTGGTCAAAAGACTACTCTACACACCAAGCGCGACGTTTCAACGCCTCTTCGTAGTACCGAGAACGGTATCGTCGATCAGGTGCTCTTCACCACCAACACTGAGGGTCTTCGATTCGTCAAGGTCCGTACTAGGACTACCAAGGTACCCCAGATTGGTGACAAGTTTGCTTCTCGTCACGGTCAAAAGGGTACTATTGGTATTACCTACCGCCAAGAGGATATGCCTTTCACTCGAGAGGGAGTGACACCAGATCTGATCATCAACCCTCACGCCATTCCCTCTCGTATGACAATTGCCCATTTGGTCGAGTGTCTGCTGTCTAAGGTCGGTGCCATCACCGGACAAGAGGGTGACGCCACACCCTTCACCGACGTCACCGTCGATCAGATCTCCCAGCTGCTCGAAGATGCCGGCTATCAGAAGCGTGGTTTCGAAATCATGTACAACGGTCACACTGGCAAGAAGCTGCGTACGCAGATCTTTTTAGGTCCCACATACTACCAGCGTCTTCGCCATATGGTCGACGACAAGATCCACGCTCGTGCCCGTGGACCCCTCCAGATTCTCACCCGCCAGCCAGTCGAAGGTCGTGCCAGAGACGGTGGTCTCCGTTTCGGAGAGATGGAACGTGATTGTATGATTGCTCACGGTGCCGCTGCTTTCCTTAAGGAGCGTCTGTTTACTGTCTCTGATGCATACACCGTCCACGTATGCGACATTTGCGGTCTGATGAGTCCTATTGCGTAAGTTTTTTTCCCTTCTTCCTGTTTGCATCCCATGATCAAATTACTAACGTGCCTCGAAATAGTCAACTTAAGAAGGGCCTTTACGAATGCCGCCCTTGCCACAACAAAACTCGCATCTCGCAAATCCACATCCCTTATGCGGCAAAACTTCTCTTCCAGGAACTACTCGCTATGAACATCGCGACCCGCATGTTTACGGACCGTTCAGGTCTCAGTGTGCGTGACTAGATGACCGAAGAGTCCCAAGCTTTGTGCCGACATTTTGCGTTTTTGTAAAATGAAAACTTCGTCCCTCCCGCCTTTTCTCCCGCCTTCATCCCTCCGCTCGAAGATTGGAAACCCCGCGTTGGCTTTCTTTCCTCCTTCTCTTTTTTCTTTCTTCTCGCTCAATTCCCTGCGCGGACTTGCATTGCTATGGCGTTTTTTCATAATTCATGTCCTGTTGCTCGATTGCTTATTCTTCTCTTTTCTCCGCAAATTGTGCAAAAAAAAAGAGAGAGGAGGGGAAGATTGAAAAGGAGGGAGTGACGGAAATCTTTGGGTTTCAAACAGGTGGTGCCTAGCAAATGTTTCCCCCCCCCCTGAGGCGTTTTTTTAAACATATTCTCAACCTCATGATTTGAAAATTGAAGGGCTTGAAACGTACAAAAACACACATATACATATTACAACAAAGACATACATGACGGTCAATCTGCATACCTAATCAGTTTTTGCAAAGAAATGAAAAACAAACAATTTTGGCAACAACCATTTCCTGAATGCAACTTGAAAGGGATTTGATGAATGGCGATTTTGTTACTGTTCTGCCTTGTGGTATCATTGCTATTGTATCTATCATACACCCATCTCTAGCTTCCTAGCGAATATTACTACACCTGCTCGATCCATTTTACAAAAAAAAAGACGTCAAAGGTCAAATGAACCCATCTTGTCCGCCTCATACTCGAATGACCAGTCTTCTTCGCTGTCATAGGCATCCAATATGCCATCAATGTCACTTCCGAAATCCTCCTCAGCCATTCTTTCTTCCTCCTTGTATCGCTCAATCGTCGCCATCTCGCTTAGTGTTAGGGATCGTTGCGATTCTGGCTCAGACATTAAGATAATACTCGGATAAGCATGCTACACTGCGCCATTGAGTAGATACTCGATAGCACCCTGGACATTGCCACCGCTTCTCCGTAAGGCAGAGACATTACGGTCGAATTCGTAGAAGCCCATTTCATTGAGCTGTCTCAATTGCGTCTCGTAGACCTCTTCCGGTGGTCGGTTGTCAGCCGGTGGTGGGGGTGAACCGAATCCGCCAGGACCAAAGAGAGCGGCAAAAGGGTTACCAGCTGGTGGTTGGCCGGCACCACCTGCAGCACCGAATGGATCTGCTCCAGCGCCTCCACCCATCATCTGCATCATGTTGCGCATGGCTTCTGGGTTCTGCATCATTCGTTGCGCGGCCTCTGCGATGGGGTTGGTCTGACCACCTTGCGCGCCAGCGCCACCGAACAGGTTTGGAAAAGTGCTTGAGGCGTCTTGTGTGTTTTGTGGCGCACCAGTGTTTGCGCCCTGCTGTTGCTGAGGGGTGAATGGATTCTGACCTCCCGCGAACAGGCTAGCGAATGGGTTGGCTCCGGCTCCAGCTCCGGCTCCAGCACCTCCACCAAAGGCTGCAAAGGGATTTGGGGGTGTGGTTGTGTTAGTCTGGTTAGGTGTTGCGGTGACGCCTTCGCCTGTTGCCGTAGAACCTGATTGCGGTGTGTTGTCTGTAGCACCAGGCGCTGGGAAACTAGGCGGAGCACCAGGCGCACGTCCACCCATGTTCCGTTGCATTTGTAGCTGCATGCGCATCATCTCCGGGCTAAACATCATACGGCGCATTTCGGGGTCTCGCAGCACTTGTTGAAGCATCGGGTTGTCACGGATCTATCGTGTGTCAGTCGGAGTGGATACAAAGCTGACAGGAGACGTACCATGGGACTTTGCAACATCATATCGACTACCGCTGGGTTGTTCATAGCCTCGTTTAGCTGGGACAGAAACATTGGGTTCTCCATCTGTTCGAGCATGGACTCGGTGGTCGGTGGTGGGCCCATCTGGTGTATGTCAGTATGATTTCCCTACGTCGTATAGATTTGAATGAACTCACGCCTCCGTCTGGACCAAACATGTCCATGCCAGGCAAGCCATGAAAGCCGGCATAGCGCGCACCAGTGAGTCCCGCAAGAGGATTGTTGCCTGTTCCGGCGGCAATGTTGGTGGGTACCTGAGGAGTAGGTGTGGTGCCCGTGCCAGCAGTGCTTGCAGTGCCCTGGCTTGCGGGGTTCTGTCTCGCATTACTGGCAGCGCCCTTGACAAGATGTACTGTGTGCCCATCCTTGATCTTGACGCTTGCCAGTGTGTCAGGGTCCTTGAGCACGCGGCCCGAATATATTAGACGTTGCCGGTCAGCGGGAACATCTGCGTATTCCGACGTCGAAAGTTTGGCCTTGAGGTCGGCGACGGTGGTGGTACTGGGCAGAGTGAGGACATGCTTCTGGTCGTTTGCGGCCTTGACATTGAAGGTTATCTGCGTTTCCTCGGCGGACGTGGCGGCGTCGTCAGCCATGATAGCTATTTGTTTCGCACGAGCGTGGGTAGCGAAGGAATCGTGTATAGTCTTGGACTACTGGGCGACGGAAAGAATACTGTGTCTCGGGGGCAAGATACGTGTGCTGGCGAGAAGAACAGGTGTGTTGAAGCAGACGGAGTGGCTGTGAGTGGCCCTGGATTCGATTGGAAGGCGGTAGAACGTCACTGGCCCCCGCCAACACTACCACTTACCCTGGCATCATTAGCGCGTATCCGTGCATGGGCTGTGCGGCTGTCGCTGACTAAGGAAGTACGCCAAGCTTTGGTGGAGCAGGAGCGGAGGTCGTCCGGGGTATGCAAGCCGAGGTATCTTTGGCGCGGAGAGGAACTCGCTGCGGTTATCCATGTCGCAATGGACCGTCTCCGTCTTTCACTCTCGCACTACCTCCTGCCTCTACCCCCTTTGGACTGATGTTTCCGTCTGATATTGGACCCTGAGACTCCATTGACATATCGACACTGCGTTACCACCATCACTCAAACCCACATTTCCCCAATATGAAAGGCATACAACTCAAGGAATATGTTAAGGTAACAATGCCTGATTCGATTCCCTCTTCTATTTCTGCTAAAAATTACAGGGCCCAGAGGACCTCAAAGTCCTTGACCTACCCACGCCCGAACCAAAACCCAACGAGTACCTAATCGCCATTCACGCCTCGGGAACCAACTTCTTCGATCTCCTCCAAATCCGAGGAAAGTACCAACACCAACCACCATTCCCATGGGTAGCTGGCTCAGAGTTCTCGGGCGTCGTGCTGAAAGCGCCCACTTCTCTCCCTGGAGGCAAGACACCCAAGTTCAAGGAAGGCGACAAGGTCTTTGGTGCAGGACAGGGTGCATATGCGACACATATTGTATCCACAGAAGAGAAGCTCAAGGGTATGCCTGAGGGCTGGAGTTTTGAGGATGCAGCTGGTGTCTTTGTCACAGCACCTACAAGTTATGCTGGGTTGGTTGTCCGGGCCGGAATCAAGAAGGGTATAACTCACCACTAAACACCCAGCTATGATATTGATCTGACACAATTTCAGGTGACTGGGTACTCGTCCACGCCGCAGCTGGTGGTGTCGGTCTAGCCGCCGTTCAGATCGCAAAAGCCTTTGGCGCAACTGTCGTCGCCACAGCCGGTAGCCCGCATAAACTCGACGTCGCGCGGTCATTCGGTGCCGATTACACCGTCTCATATCGCGATGCTGACTGGCCTGAGCAAGTCAAGAAGCTCACGCCCAAAGGCCGCGGCGTAGATATCGTCTACGACCCTGTTGGTCTCATCGCGCAATCCATGAAGTGCACTGCCTGGAACGGACGCTTGCTTGTTATTGGTTTTGCAGCTGGTGATATCGAGAAGATGGCTACCAACCGCATTCTTCTCAAGAATGTAAGCGTGGTTGGATTGCATTGGGGAGCCTACGCGATCCACGAACCGGAAATGCAGGATGTAGTCTGGGATGGTATATTCAAGCTGGTCAAGGAGGGCAAGTACCGAGGAACTGCATTTACGGATCAGGAATATGTAGGTTTGGAGAGTGTTCCTGCTGCGCTAAAGGCACTTGGAGGTAGGAATAGTTGGGGCAAGGTTGTTGTTAAGGTCCCGCAATCCGGTGGAAGCAAAATTTGAGATGCCTCCTACCTCCTATATTTAGCTATTGTATCATGGCCAGTATATTGTTCAACCAATACATTCCATTGCAACCTATTTCCTATCCCTAACAAACCGCACAACCATAACCTCAAGATCCCTACTTCGATCATGCCACGGCGCATTCCTGGGCAGTCTCAACCCCGCCATTTCCCTCGTGTAGCTCTTCTCCACAGACTCTCCATCCCAAATCAACGTCTCCTTGCCCACATCAAACGCCCAGGTCCTCGCACACTCCACAACCGTATCCAATTGATCTATCTTCTCCTTGAACGTCTCCAGCACCAGTTCCAAGACCTGCAGATCAGGTAAAAAAGAAGTGACGTGTGTGCCCCAGCACTCTGCACTAAGACTCGGGGGCTGACCTGCTGTGCGATCGCTCGCTAGTAGTTTCATTTCGTCTGTTGATCCACGAGAGCGAAAAGGTGCGCCAAATGTAGGGTCGAGACGGAGGTTTTGGTGCGGATCAGTGGATGCAGGGTCGTCGGTCCACGTCCACCAGTCTTGAGCTGTGAGGCGTAGAGTAAGATGAGTTATCTTGCCCGCAAGGCAAACGCGCGAGTGGGATGAACAAGGCTGTGCCCTAATTGATGGGACGGGTGCGCGATCTAGCACGTCGTTGATGGACTGGGGTCGTCTGTCGGGTGTCTTTGTAACAGCGGGTATGAGGACGTTGTCAAAGGAAATGGGGTATTCTCCAGCCTTCCTGCCATCCAAATCCTGGAAAATAAGAGCTTGTCGGGGAACAACGTAGCAATTTTCATGTCGAGCCTGTGCTTCCCACTCTTTCAACGTGTTTCTTAGTCCTCCGTTTTCCAGAGCCATTTGCGGGAGTTTGATGTCCAATCGCGTTATCTGTGCGAATTGCCAGGGCAGTAAGAAATGCCTCTTCAATGGTTCTGAGAGTTCGGTAATGACAAAGGAGTTTACACGCAGCGGCTTTTCGTATGTCTCCAGATACACCGCTTTGCATGTCAGGAGGAGGTTGAAGGCGATATCGGACGGATAGAAAAAGGCTTTTCGTCCGCCTCCACGATGAAAATAGCGATCTCGACGGATTCCTGGATCGTTGGGTGTTGCAGGCTCGCGGTCTATGGGATAGGATGTCGTGTCTTTGAGAGCGAAGGTGAAGATCAAATCTCGGATCTCTGCCGGGATGAGCGAGTAGAGAGAAGAGTTGCTTTGGTCTTTGACCTCAGAGGGAGATATGGACCAAGCGAGGGGCTCTTTGCACTTGGCCACAATTGGGCATGCTTCAGGTCCTATGTCGGAATCGCAGTTACATTTCGGGTTCAATATTTTGCGTCTCTTTGCAGCCTGCCGTTCTGCTCTTTGACGCGCAAGTGTGCAACCGGCGCAATTGTTGCATCGGCCGGAAGCCATGATTTTAGAGTTTAGGGGTTTTTTTGGTTTCGATTGGATTTGAGGTTGTGCAGAGAGAATGAAGACAGAAATTCGATGCTTTTAGATACATGGGCGAGACGTCGCACTAGCGCGTTGTTGCCTTGGACAATCTAGGCGTCGTTAAGGCCACCCGTAATCGGTAATAATAGTTATACCATTGATTCGTGCGCACATCTGCCTAAATTCCATGTTGGTATGAGTGCCATGAATCCATATATTCGGCGAGATTATAGCGAGACGTAGACACGATAAATGAGTATTCGTGCAAGTGCCAGCTACGCTTAGTCCTATCAAAACAGGTCTTCTAAGCTTCACATATATATCCATTCTTCTCAAACAAGTCCCACGGCATGATACCTTATAAGTGCTCGAATCTTTGACAAAACCATAATACTTTAATTCCAGTGTTCGGGATGGTGGACCAGATTACCAACATTTAGAGATGAGATATCGCACCCCATATGTTGGAGAACGCAAACAGTCGAAACGAAGTAGGCGAAAGATCCAGATTGGGAAATTCCAAGAGACCTATCTGAAGCTATGTAGAAGGAGTCGACTAAATCTATCAACTGGCAGTTGCTTTTCGAGACTCTCTTCAATCCTCAACACGCGCGTAGTCACGAGATTACGTGGTGATCGCTACGTCATGGATATTACTGACATCACGACTTTAACACGTAGAGTTCGCCCTTATTCTCATGATGGTATCTAATTATTGAGTTTATTATTCTGGACTTTACTGTGATAGACTAGCAAGATGTCTCAACCACTGATCATTGTTGTTACCGGCTCAAATCGCGGCATCGGCCAAGGCATAATCAAACTCCTTGCCAAAAACCAATATCGACGACCCTTGTGTATCTATGCTACATCTCGCAGTGGTCTAGACCTCCAAATCCAACCGTTTCCTCCAAACGAGATCTGATATGCCAAACTTAACATCTCAGAAACATCCTCCGTCAAAACATTCATCAGCAACACCTTGGAGAAAGATGGCAAAATCGACGTGCTTGTCAACAATGCTGGCGTAAACAACAACAACAACGACGAGACACCCGAGCTAGCCGAACAAACGATAAACGTCAATTATTATGGCACAAAAGAAATGTGTCGGCTCTTCCTCACCCAAGGAAAAATGAACACAACACCAAGTTCTCGCATCGTAAACGTAAGCAGCACCGCCTCTTCCCTTTCCAATTACAAACCTCCCATACAATCTCGTTTTCGCTCCGCAAAGTCAGTCTCAGACATCGATGCCCTCGCTCAGGAATACATTTACGCCGTAAAATCGCAAAAGCAGGAGGAGGCTGGCTTTGGCGCACCGCCAAAATCATACCAAGTTAGTAAAGCACTTATGAATGCTTTGACTCTTGTCTTGGCTAGAGAGAATGAGGGTGTGGCGGTGAATTGCTGTTGTCCTGGGTGGGTAGATAGCGATATGGGGAATCAGATTGAGAAGCCACCGAAGACGTTGGAGGAGGGCGCTAGGATACCTGTTAGACTGGCTATAGGTGATTTAGGGCAGGGCGGTAACGAAGATGGAGGCCTGGACAGCGATAGTAGGGAGACGGTTAGCGGAAGGTACTTTGGAAACGATGGGGTGAAAGGTAAAGGGTGGGGAAGAGCAAGGGGGTGGTAATCATCTCAACTAACTATCAATTCAATTTTTTTGGCGCTGATTTAAATACTAATGGAGAAGAAATGATACAACAAGCTCAATCCAAAAACCACTTCGGCACCTCCGGCCCCCAAACGGCTAAACTCTCATCCCCTGCCTCCCCCCACCCAACAGGCGTATCCTCATTCACCAAATCCCCATCCGCATAATGCTCAATCATATTCCCCGTAGTATCCCACCAATAATCAAACAACTGGCTCCCCAGAATATGTCGGCCTACGCCCCAAACACTCTTGTAACCCCGTTGCGCCAACCACTCATGTCCCAGATTCTGCGTGTCGAAGTCGTGAACCTCGAAACTGCTGTGGTGCACATGCGATGTAGGGTTTGAAGATAAGAAGATGGTGTGGTGATCGGTATAACCCGGTCCGAGATCGATATGGGCGAAGATGGCTACGTCTTTTTGCTGAGGGGGCGACACGGGGTCCTCTGAGGGTACTTTGACGTATAAGAAATCAGTGGGTACGATGTTAAAAGTTCGAGTGTACCATTGCATTTCTTCCTGGAAATTTTGCACACAGAGACCGTAATGGCCTAGTTTGTGTACGGCTGCGGGTCCCGGTTTGAAGCGCTGGAAGCGAGCGATGCGCGGCTTGTCTTTTTCGTAGTTTGTAGTTAGGACTTCGGGGAAGGGACCGGGTTCCTTTTTCGTTTGGCCGAATATGAGGTTGATGGGGAAGCCTTCTGGGTCGTGCAAGGTGACCATGGAGCCACCGCCGGGAGCGTCAGTTAATTCTTCGATCGGACTTGCGCCTGGGACTTTGGTTGCCTTTTCTAGTTCGGCGTAGCTTTCGACTTCGAAGCAGCCTCCTAGGAACTTCTTTTCGCCTTGTTGTGCATAGTAGACGTATTGCTCGTCATTGTAGCCCTTGAACCATTTCTTGCCCTCGGCTTTTTGGGCTACGCTCATGCCAAAGTCGCGTAGAAACTTTGTGATTTCATCAAGATCTGGATGTTGGTATCGCATATGTACGAGTTTTGTGAGTTTTATTTGCGCGTCGCGATCAATATTTTGTTCTTGTTGCCATTGTCGCAGCGGTTTGCAGGGTTTAGGAATGGCGACAGATTGGGGTACTGAAGATCCACGATTCGGCGAGACTTCGCGACTAGGGTTCTGAAAACATCATTAAAGTGTTCTTGTATAGAGATGAAGAAACATTCCATAAAGCTTGATCATGGAGTGATGCATTCCTACATAAGATGGGAATGCGCAAGAGCGAATGTGGGGCCTTTGTGTAGACATACCGCTGGGGTGATCTTTTCGTTAAGTTCTTCAAAAGCCATGCTGGTTTATATTACTATCTTTTGTACTAATAGGTTGGATGCTAGTATGGTAAAATGAAGCCACAAGGAAAGGAATTTATCTTAACCGTGGAAGTTGTTGCAGCGAGGCTAGTGGGTACATGCATGTGGGGAGGTAGAACGTAATACGCAATGCCGATGTGGGGTCCCGTCATGTTGGTAGTAACGTGCCTAACGCCAAGTTATCTTTGGCAACGGTTCCATGCGGCTCGAATGCTTCAAGTAGTACATACTACCAATACTTTCGTAGTGCTTGCAGGTTGTGAAAGTTGAGATTCCATTTTCGACCGTCTAAACACGTGCAAGTCTACTCATTTATCAGTCTATTTGCATCACCGGCCTTTGTTTCCTCCCATCGCATCTTCCATCAGCTGATGTCAATATGAGTTACATGGGGTTGGAAAGCAGTGGAGAGATGGAATACCGGGTACAGGTCACGTGGCGTGAACTATGATTCCAAAAAAAAGTGCAAAACATACGACAGCGGGGATTCGCCAGTGGTCACCCACCTGACTACTAGTCTGCCGGTCAAAGGTTTATCATGTGGGGAGCGGACGAGACCCAGAGCGACATTTTTGCCTATGATCGTATGTGAAAAAAATTTGGAAGTCTGTGGTTGAGATACTCGGTTTCGGGAGCACAAAAGGGAAATGAATAGAGCAAAAAGGCTTCTGATGCACATGAAGAGATAAGTATAAATTCGTCTACTGTGCAAGCAATAAGAGGCGTATAATCGTTGTGGCAGATCTAGTCTTGTTGGTCGGGAATATATAGACTATTTCGGGTGCGCGGATGGAATGCTGACATTGCAACTATTCTGACTTGAAGTTACGGACCCAGTTCCTGGATAGGACTCAAAGCTCGATTATCTCTGACTCTGTAGAGACATGTTTGCTTTCTTTCACAAGTTTATTCAGCCACGTGCCCAGCCTGAGTGCAGCTTTACTAATCTGCAATTCAACAATAGGAACAGCGCCCGTCGCATATCCATCTGTTCCGAGATCGGTATCATTTCGTACATGCTGGTACACGTAATCACAGTCCCATCGATTACTTTCTCTTGCCCAGGTTGCTGCGCACTTCTCTGGCGTCGAAGGATCCACACATGACAGCCACATGTATGGTGCAGAGTAGAATTCATCTTTCCGAATGCGCGAAACAAGGCCGGTAAAGAATGCATCGATAGATTGGTTGGAGAATGGGTGGCTGACATTCGCAGCATAGTATGGTATATAGCCATCCCAGACCTGTGTTGATGATGAGCTTTGGATACTCCAACCAATGGATAAGACTTACAGCGTGTAGTTGGGTAGAGACGTTTCCAAACACGACTTTGAAAGTGTTACCGCCTACTGCGCGCCCGCTCGCATGTAGAGGCTGGTGTATATCTCCAAAGAAATGTGCCACCCATTTCAAAGCATAAGAGCAGGTCAAATTCGTCCCTCCTGTTAAATGCCCACTTTGAACCTGGTCTATGCATCCGCGCAGAATGCTCGTCTGATTTGCGATGGCGCTCACCACGCATCCACCAATGGCACAGTCGTGAGAGTATTCCAAATGACACTTCTCTGGCGGGCTGTCATGTGTGTCAATCCAGTGCCATTGGTAAGAGAAGCGACCTTCTTGGGTGTGTGCATAGGCGTCTGCCCATGCTGCCGAGCGCCCAACGGAGCCGTTATACTGTGGTTCGAGGATCTTAGAAAGAACCGAGGTGGTTTCTGGTGTGAAAAACGTCTCTGCCATAAAGCCGATTTGATTATGAACTGGGTTGACTTAGTAGGGGATATCTCGGGGCATGGCATCACAGCCTACCATCTGTATTCCAAGCTGAAGCTGAAATCAAGAGCGATGCTCCCGCAAATACAACGCTTGCACGCATCATGTCGAAATACCAATGGAATGGCTGTTTAACAGGTTTTCTGAAGAAGGTAGGTATCAGGTCCAGTAAGGGGACGTGCTCCTTATAGCCGTCAAGGCTTGTGGTTGGAAACGAAGAACTGAAGACGGCACACCAGTCACTTAGATGTTAGTAAGCTAGATTGGCAGAAGTCTAAAGTAGATACAGGATGAGTTGGGGCAGGTTTGTGTGCTGTCTTGTGTGAAACTTGGAAACAGCATGTTGGACGTTCAGCGCCTGTGTCGACGCGTGATGCGCTACGATGACGCGCCAGAGCCGGACATGGTTACAGGGTAACGGCACTAGTCTCAGAACGGTCAGGTACCTAAATGTGGGTGCATCAGCCCTTGCCGCCCCACGGCATGTAGCGAAGATGGGATTAAAACGCAACAAGCTTCCTTCATCCTTCAGCAATCATCTCTCATAGAATTTGGTGTTCCCCACTCTTTTCCTTTCTCTCTTCACTTTGCAAGCTCCAAAATAAACACCTATCGTCCGTCGTTGCTTGTTTTGTTTCTTTGTCGATGGACGGCCAATTTCTGTTGAATATATCCAACCGCCATTCCCTAGCCTCCGCGCACCAATGCATCACTGGATATGCAACATTATGACGATACGATGTTGAATCTTATTTATTCGAGATAGGCAAACCGACATTTGGGAATCTGTAACCACCTACTCCTCTGGCTCAACATTCACATCAACCCCATATTCATCCACAATCCAAGCGCAAAACTTCTCCCACTTGCTAACCCATTCCTTCAACCTCTGCGCGCGAATGCCCTTGCCGAACATGCCATCCTTGATATCCTGAGTCCAATCTTTTGCAGCATAATCGTCAAGACTAGCCCAACGCACACTGTTCTCTGCAAGGGAGCCCAAACCCTCTAACCCCAGATTCTCCCAGCCTTGGAGTGCCTGCCAGAAATCGTGCGACATACCTGATACACCCTGGCCCAAGATCGTAGGATCATCGTTACACAGCGAACAGGGCACACCGCGTGCAAGGAGCGCTGGCAGAGGGTGTGACATGATGCTTCCACATAGCCTCAACACTTCGTTGGAAACTGGGCAACTTTCCACTAGGATCCGTTTCTCTTTGACCATGTCAATTAGCAGCGGATGCTTGTACAAACTGAAGCCGTGACCGATGCGTCGGGTACCGAGAATAATGGCGTCGAAGAGGTTCTCGTCTACCGAGTCGCCATCACCAAGCGTCTCACCTGCATGGAAGAAGAAGGGTATGTCAACACCTTCTTGTGCGCATGCTTTGCGGAACCAGAAGAGTTCGGGAGCTAGATCTGAGAGAGAACGTCCGAGATCTTCTTGGCCGACAAGGTCGTAACCTGCAATGATTTCGGGGAACTCGAGTTTCATTTCTATACATTGCTTCATGCCTGTTGCGCTGTCAGTGGGTGAAATTGTGCGTTTACGATATTTAAGTATATTGGTTGCATTGATGCTGTGCGACATACTCTCGATAACTTGTTTGGTTCCAAACTGACGGATGGTAGTCCAGATCATTCTCGCGCCCCAAAACTCCTTCCCTTCTTCACTCACTTTGAACTTCTCAATCTCGTCGGCCATGTGTTCGAGCATGTGAAACCAATCTTCGTCCCACTTTTCTTTTCCTGTGCTGCGATACGGGGTATAGAAGGCTGACCGAATGTCTACATAGTAGACCCCATCATCAAGTAACTGTTTGCACATATTTCGGATGAATTTGCGGAAAATAGGCTCGTAGTAAATTAATGAGCCAAGA